ATTTAAAAAGTCAACTTCTAAGATTAATTTTCCTGTAGCATTTCATGTACTGAAACAGGAGATAAAAAAAATGCCAGAAACCCATCACAACTGTGTAGCTATTCATAGTTATTGTGAAGGGTCGATGGTGGCTTTCAGTCCAGGCCACAGTGAAAGTGTCTGTTTTTTTAAAAACATAATTACATGGGTCAAAAGCACCTTTGCAGAATGTCCAGTGCTTGGATAGTCTGAACTTTGGTCTTTCTGCCTTAGCCTTCTTTTTAATGGATGTTGATTTGAATTGAGGCGTGTTGGTGCTTTGTTTTTCAAGTTTGTCCTTGATATCTAAGAAGCACAGACAGAGCATGCACCAACTCTGGGATGAAAACTATCTACAGGAAATTTAAATGGGCAAATTGGTATAACCATCCTTGGAGCAAGTAGAACGGTAGATTCATTTGATAGGCATTATGCCCCAGTCCCCGTGTGCTGTTAGCTGTGCCTTACACCATCATCAGGGCATTCAATATTAATAGAAGTCAAAGTACAATACACGCTCAAGTTAGCCATGAGACAGCAGCCATCTCTTAGGAATAGACAGAACTGTAAACAGTGGACTAGCTGTGAAACTTCACTTCCTTTCCTTATGGTAATATTGACCTGCAGGGTTGGAGGCATCCATCAGGGTGAGCAGGGCTCTTCTGAAAGCCCAGCCCAGTTGGAAGTTATGATTTCTTATGGCTTTTGAAGAACTTACCCTGATTCCTGCCTTAAGTCAGTTAGTTACCAGCAATATAAGCTGTAGAGAGGATTAAAGGAAAGGCTAGAAAGAGATTCAGTGAATTATGCTCGTTTTTGAAGAGTTTCTTAAGAGATTATTGTTTAGCTAATTGAGGATTGTCTTAGCCTATTTAGGGTGCTCTGACAGAATACTGTAAATGAAATCTCTTGCACACAGTAGAAACTTGCTTCTCCTTGTTCTGGAGTATGCAAAGTTCAAGACTAAGGGCTTTGCACATTCGGTGTGGTGGGGCCAATGTGCTCTTGATGGTACTTCTAGTTGCAAAAGGTCTTGCCCTGGGTACTAGAATTTTAACATACAAAACTGGATGTGGTGGCTCTACCTAAAATTCCAGCACATGGAGGATTGAGGCAGGAGGATTGCCATGAGTTCAAGGCTAGGCTAGACTACAGAGTAAGAATGTCTCAAAAACCCAACACAACAACAACTACCCCAAACTCAAACCCCTAAGATTTCAACATACAATCTAAAAATATTTATTATTTATAGTGTGTGTGTGTGTGTGTGTGTATGTGTGACTGTAATTATTAGTTCTCATTTAAGCTATAAGGTCAGCAATACAGATGGACAGCAACTGATAAATGAGAACTCATTTAAGAAAGATAAGGAGTTTGTTCGTAGGGTAGCTCTCAGGTTGGACCAGTCATGGGCTGGCCATTTGCTCAGTTTCTGCTCCATCTCTGTCCCCGAATTTCTTATAGAAAGGAGAAATTTTGGGTTGTAAGATTTGTAGGTGGTTTTTTGTCTTTATCTTTCCACTGGGGGTCCAGTCTGGCCACAAGAGTAGATAGATACTTCAGGTTCTGTATCCCCACTTCTAGGCATCTTGGCTAAAGTCTCTCCCATAGACTCCTTGGAGTTTTCTCCATCCCAGGTCTCTGGTATATCCTGGGGATTGAGGAGGAAAGATAAGAGGAAATGAATGAAGCTGCCTGAAGCATTGCACATTACAGTTTCTAGATGACCCTTGCCATTTTTCTTGGGTTTAAATTCTGTTATTAAAGATTCTCAGCTAGTGAGGAGAATACTCTTAGAAAGCCAAAACAGGTGCCTGTTCTGTTTTCCATAGATGGTCTATTTCTAGGTAGCCCTGATCTGTTACCATATACTGTGGACTCTTCTATCTTCTGGAGTCTGATCTTGGGCTATGCATTAAGACAGATATATTAAAATGGTTCATGGGAACAACTTCCACAGCATGTTTAAAGATCCTGTGAGAAAGCAATAAAAGGCGCTGCCCCAAATTAACAGCATCTCGGTAATCATGTAATTGTTTGTGAAATAATCTGCTTTTCTTAGTTGTTTGTTACTGCCTTGCTTATAGCCATGAAATACTGTAAGTGTGTGATGTGAAATTGTCATTGACTTCTAGCTCCTTCTACTTCTCTGGAAATAATTCCAACCAAAGAGGAAGAAAATGTCAACTCTAGCAACACATATACACATAGGGGGTGGGGCATAATAGAAGTTTCTCATTTTGTTTAGAAATGTGTTTCAATTACTTCTATGGAAATAAACCACGTCCAGTTTTGAAGATTTAGAGTCTCTTTAGCGATGTTGCTGACCTTTAAACTTCTTTGTTATTTAAGTTATTGTTATTATAAGTTTGAGAATTGCATGCCCAAGTACTGTATCTACGCCATTTTCTCTCCCCTTTGTCTGCTTCCAGGCCTTTCAGTCTCTTTCCCACTCCCTCTCAACTTCATGACTTTTTCTGTATGTTATTCCTCTTAGTTTTGCTCACATGTACACTTGGTTAGTGCTGCTGGCTTTAAACTCTAGAGGTAAAGAAGCACACATTTCAAGTCAAGGCCGCTTGCTGGTTTTGTTGGGGAGAGCACACAGAGTGACAGGGTCTCTAGTCATTGAGAGGTTGGACATAGACTGTTGCCATTGACAGGAAGGAGCTGCTGGGCCGTGAGGGGCTTCCTGGACGGAGTGTGGAGGCATTATGGGAAAATGCTTCTGAGTCAATGAGCTTGGGTGAGATAAAAATCCCAAGCTTTTCTTTGACACTGTGGCTGATCTCTTGATCTGTTTTCACTTGTGGTCCTGCAGGGAGCTTCTTCCCCTCTCTGGGGGGTTGGTAAGAGTTCTATAAATAATACAGTATGTAGTGCTTCCTCTGATGCCTGCCCTTTGTTCTCCTCTGCAGTGAGTTAGGTGAGTGTTTAGCTTGTTCTAGGAAAATGTTTTTCAATCATTAAACCCTTGAGTGAGAAAGGTAGGGAAACAAAAATTTAACCCCGTCATTACCATTCCAGTATCATTCGGAGGTTTGATGGACAAGGCAGGAGATAGTCATGGTAGTGATACATCCTGTTTCCCTTAGCTGCTTTGGAGAGTCTGTGTGATATGACACATGAATTATGAAGCTTCCAAATGTGTTTTCCCCCTTAAACTTAAAAAAAAAAGTTTTTGCTTTCTGTTTTCAAAAGATGTCTACGTGTCGTAGCAAGCAGACACTGTGGGTGAGGGTTGTCTGTCCTAATTCAGAGGTTACTAGAGGGTTATTGTCATCACAGTGAGTCTGTGGTCCACTGAGCTTGCCCATTTTAAACATATGAGGAGGCTGCCTGGAAGGGTAAAATTTCTATTAGCATCTCAGTGAGAGGCACATATGCCAGCTGAGACAGAGACATCAGATGAAGACATGGTAAAACATGGACCTCATTAAGAATCAGCAACTGGGCATTTTCCATTGGAGATAAACATTGCTTCCTTATTGCTACTTAATCTTAAACAAACTTATTCTATAAGGTCACAACAGAATATCGGCAGAGGTGGCTATTTTTATAATTATAGGAAATGCCTACTTGGAGAATTTTTTTATTTCTTTTTTTTTAAAAAAGAAAATTACTTTATTTACATTGTAGTCTTTGCCTGCTCCCCTCTCAGTCCCCACTCCCACAGTTCCTTATACCATCCCTCCTTCCCCTTGCCTCTGAGAGGGTGCTCCCCCCACCAGACTTCCCCTTTCCCTGGGGCCTCAGGTCTCCTGAGGATTAAGCACATCTCCCACTGAGACCAGACTAGGCAGACTCCTGTTGTATATGTGCAAGGGGCCTCCGACTGCTCCTGGTTGGTGGCTCAGTCTCTGGGAGCTCCCTGGGGTCTGGGTAAATTGAGACTCCTAGTCTTCCTATGGGGTCTCTCCTCTTCTTCTTCTTCTTCTTCTTCTTCTTCTTCTTCTTCTTCTTCTTCTTCTTCTTCTTCTTCTTCTTCTTCTTCTCCTCCTCCTCCTCCTCCTCCTCCTCCTCCTCCTCCTCCTCCTCCTCCTTCTTCTTCTTCTTTTTCTTTCCTTCCCCTAATTCAACCATAGGGGTCCACAACTTCAGTCCAGTGGTTTGGTGTAAGTATCTATATCTGACTCAGTCAGCTGCTGGTAGGGCCTCTCAGAAGTCAGCCATGCCAGGCTCCCTGTCTGTGAGCACACCATAGCATCAGTAATAGTGTCAGGCCTTGGTGGCCCACCATGAGATGGATCCTAAGTTGGGCTGGTCATTGGACCTCCTTTCCTTCAGTCTTTTCTCCATTTTTGTCCATACAGTTCTTTTAGACAGGAACAATTCTGGATCAGAAATTTTGATTGTGGTTGGATAACCCTGTTCCTCCACTTGAGGCCCCATCTATCTATTGGAGGTGGTCTCATTCACTCTCCCCAATGTTAGGCATTTTTGCTAAAGTCATTCCTATTGAGTCCTGAGAATCACTTACCTTCCGGGTCTCTGGTACTTTCTAGAGGGTTCCCCCCACCTCCCTGCTCTGAGACTGCTTATTTCCATTCATTTTCTTGGCCCTCTGGGTTTCTCCCCTGTTCCCCACACCCTAACCTGATCTTGTTCCATTTCCCCCTCCCCTTCCCCTCTCCCGCCCTGGTCCCTCCCTCCCTCTGCCTCCTGTGATTATTTCCTTCCCCCTTCTCATCTAAAAATCACTTAAGTGATCATTTTTAGTGATTTCACAATTTTATGGGGAAGGGGTGGTGGAGGTTTACTTTGACTTCATTTGGTCCACTTTTTTTCTTTTTTAAGAGAAAGTGATCTGGTGATTAGAAGTGTTCCTGGCAGTGACAGAGGTGATGATTCAGTCAGCTATTGCGGCTGCACCCGAGGAGACATTATGAAAGTGCTGGTCAGGGATGTGGGCAGGGGTCAGAGCTGCCTTCAGGGAAGGTTGCCGTTCTTCTAATTGTTTCTCTGGAATCTCATCTTCCTAGGTGGATTAAGTTTGAAGAGAAAGTGGAACAGGGTGGGGAACGCTGGAGCAAACCCCATGTGGCCACCTTGTCCCTGCATAGCTTGTTTGAGCTGAGGACTTGTATGGAGAAAGGATCCATCATGCTTGACCGGGAAGCATCTTCTCTTCCACAGCTGGTGGGTGAGTATGGCCCTTCAGGCTCCTCCTACTGTTCAGGAATGTCCTTCAATCCAGAAGCCCCCTAGGGTAAGCAGGGTTGAGTATTCTCTAAAACACTAGTTCGTAGGGTCTTGTGTCACGAAATGAGTGATTTGTAAAAAATTTGACTACTATCAAGAAAGATAGCATTAAGAAATAATAGCCATGTCTGGTTATGGTCCTTGTCATTATTTTGGAATATTTAGATTTTTTTTTCCAAATTTATTTATCAGTCTCCACGATTTTGTGCTTTTTTTTTTTAATCCTCTGTATTTTCGTTACGTCGAAGATTGTACTTAACATGCATGCACATGTTAGTTTCTCTACTTATTAGTGTACGGTTAACATTTTTTGTATATGCACTTGTGTGTATGTGGGGTCATACGTGTGCATGTGACTGGTGGATATGTGTGCTTCTGTGCATGCATGTATGTTTCTGTGGATGCCAGAGTAAAACCATGGTTTTATTTCTCAGGAGCCCATCCCTTGGTTTTTGAGACAGTATCTCTCCTTGACTGGCACTCACTGAGTAGAGTAGGTAGGCTGGTCAGTGAGCCACAGCGATCCTCCTGTTTCTGCCTCTCCAGGGCCATGCCACCACGCCCTATTTTTTTTTTTCCTAACATAAGTTCTAGGTGTTGGTCTCAGGTCCTCAATCCTGCATGACAGTTATTTGCATACTGAGCCATTACCTCACCCCAGATTGATATTCTGGCTAAAGAGTCCTCTCACCCTCCTGTATGAACCGGCTTTCTGGACACTAGATTTTTACAACTCTTTGACCTTAGATGTTTCACTGAGCTTTTCTGCTTCTCAGGTACATTATGTTCAAAACAGAGTTTACATCTTACAGAAGAATGAAAATCTTCCACTTCTGGGGCTTCTCTGTGGGAAGGTGAATGTCAAGTCATTTAGCTGTGTATACAGAACGCAATGGGACAGGTGCCAGCAGCAGGGCCCCAGGGGCTAGTGACGGCTGAGTGACTGAGTGACAGAGTCAAGTTACATCGGTACAGAGGATCTTGCATATCACCAGAGCTTACGGAATTTCTATGCGTGAAATTTTACCATTCCTTCCTCCCACTAAGTATATGTTTTGCTCTCTACGATAATGAAAACAATCTCCCTGGAAGGAGTTTATTTCATGTGACACTGAGTGGTATCACAGGAGAAATGCTGGGGTCACAGTGGACAGCTTTAACTAAAGACTTCCTCTGTCAGTGTAGATGATCATGGTTAGGACAGGTTACCACAGTTTTGGAGGCTTGGTTTCCTCTTCTGTGGAGGTACTATTAAGGGTGCATGTCTGAGATTCCTTTCCTGATGCCGTGATAAAATACCTTGATTAAAGTAGCTTAGTGGAGAAAAGTATAATTTAGGTCATGATTCCAGCTTACAGTCTATCACGGCTGGAAAGTCAATGAGGCAGGAGTCTGAGAGAACAGGTCATGATACATCCATCTTCAGGAACAGAGATCAGGGGATGCATGATACTTGAGCTCAGCTTGCCTTCTATTTATCCAGTCCAGGACCCAATCCTCAGAATGACGCTGTATGATTTTAAGCTGGGACTTCCCACATCAGTGAATGTAATAGAGGCCATCTCCCACAGACATATCCACAGGCCAATTAAATCTATACAGTTCCTGCTGGAGATGCCCAGCCCAGGTGATTCTAGATTGTGTCAGGTTGACAATTGAAACTAACTGTCACAGTGTACCAGTTGTAAGGAGAATTAAGGAAGGTCATCAGACCTCCTGGGTTCATACTTTTACCCTAGCGTAATTAGCTATCTAGGTTTTCCTATATATAACCTATAAGACAATTACTTGAAGTCTGACTTGAGTCTGGCATATAGAGTTTGGGATTTCATGAGCAGAAGGAAAAAATTCCAGACTATTGACTGAAGAGATGGAAGTAGTGGGACATTCATTCATTCATTCTTTTAATTGATTGGTTGATTGATGATTGATTGGCTGTCGCTGGTCTCAGAGCTGATCAACAGGGCGATGAAACTTTTAGAGCTGAACTTCTTTGCAAAGTTGTCTTTATGCTCTTCAGTCCCATTCTGAGCTACCTTAAAGAGTTCCTGATCTCCAGCAACTGCCTCACTGTATGTACACAGCAGAAGATAGAGTCTCACGTACATAGCAGAAGACAGAGTCCCGCATTAAATCAGATGCTCTTTAGCCAATGACCAAAAAGGGAGGCTCTGACATCTGCTACACACAAGAAAGATTAAGCGAGAGCATTTGATGTTCTTGCTTAATTTCCCATAACTTTTTTATTTTTACTATTGGCTGCGGACTCTTTTCTAACCTCCATGAATTTACTTTGAACATTGTCATTCCGTGTTAAAATTAGACATCTCTAGGTCACTTTGAGGTATCATCACTGACTAATATGTTTGCTCCACAGTCCCTGGGGCAAGGAGGCACAGTGCCAGGGCTGTCATTCTGGAGCTGATAATTCAGGAAAACAGTTCAGAGCAAAACATACATCATGAGCAAAAGAAAGGGACGGAAATAAAAGCCCAGCTTTGCAGAGGAGAGTAAACGAGTGTAACCTGATAACGGAACAAAAATCCTCCAGAAGAATGCAAACCCATGGAGAGCAAAATATGAACCATGGAAAACCTTTGCTTCATTTTAATCGGCAGAAGGCAGTACTGTGAAGTGAAGTGCTGTAGAGATTAGTTCATTACTATTACATTCTTCGTCTAGCAGATGATGAAGTACGGATGTGTATGCTGGTAATTCTTAAATGGCGGTTACTCGCTCCGAAGTATCAAGATGGGTTTTCAACCAACAGGCCAATTTTCCTTCAGAAAAAGGGAAAAAATAAATAATAGAAAGTATGATTATATCCAACAAATATGAGGATCATTCTCAGCTGTCTTTGTGGTCCATTTGCTATTGCTCCTCCTCATCTTCCTGAGAGGCAGAACACCTACCTGCAGGTCCTAGGCAAGCAGCTGAACCGGTCTCAAGCCTGGCTCAGGTGTCTGGTGTCTTTCTTACAGTGAAATCAGCTTACCTGGGGTTCTTTTCAGGATCTCACTGTGTTTTAATTTTTTTTAAAAAAAGAATCTCTTCTGTATTTTAATAGAAAAATTGTCTTTGAAGCCTTACAGAGGATAAGACATAATTTCCAGGGATTATTTTAATAGGTTTATTATTAGCATCTTCATTGTAATCCTATATTTAAAGGGTGTCACTCACACAGGAAGTCAAGTTCATGGAATTTTCTTCCACTCTTTTCTTTAAAAGAAGCTATAATCCATTTCAGGTATTTAGCACAATGAGAAACGGATGAGGAAAATGTAGCTCTATTTTTGGAGCTCATTCATATATATATATATATGCATGTATATGCACTGAGCTCTGTGTGTTGGCAGATGTATGAGTTCTGTTGTTTCTTAAAAACTTTATATTTTCAAAATTTACATTTTTTGCTCTTTCTAATCATAATATATAAATATATATCTCCATTCAAATACAATTCATACTTTACTACAAAAATAAAACCTTCCCTAATTTTACCACAAAAATAAAGTGTTTCCTAATCTGTCTATCATCTCAACATTTTTCTTATGCTCTGGTTATGTGCATATAACTTTTTCTTGAAATGGAATTATGGTACAACGTATGTGTGTATGCACATGTGAGTATGTGAGTGGGTGGATGCCTGCGCATGGGGAGGCTAGGGCAGGATACTATGTATCTTCTTCATTATTCTTTGTCTTATTGCCTTGAGACAAGCTCCCTCCACGATGCTCTCTCAAACTCTCTGTGACAGTTAGGCTGCATGGCTGGTGAGTTCACAAGGCCTGCCTGTGTCCATCTGGTAATCTGGGGTTGTAGGCATGCATAGCCAGTCAGGTAGGTGTTTTACATCAGTGCCAGGACTTGAACTCAGGCCCCATTCTTGTGGAGCAAACATTCTTATCTGCTGAGCCATCTCGCCAGCCTCATGGTTCATTATTTTAATTGGTATTCGCTTAAAGATAAAAACATAAATATCAATTTCTCATCATTGTATAAATAATGCCTAATAGCTGTAAAATAGTAATTTATTAGGTGTTAGGTGACCTTGAAGGTTTTATTATCAAGGGAAGTGGGTATTTTTTGTATAGTTTAGCAAAATTATTTGATTAGTATAAAGTTCCAGTTGTAGAAAATTCAAAAGTTTTGAACATATTGTAAGATTTTGGGTACGTTTTTGCCAAATGTCTTGGTCTGCAGTGTCATCCCCAGGTGACTTTTATGGCATAGGTCTTTCATACTGAGTTAGATAATTTTGACAGACCTAACAAATGTCTTAATTAGCTATGGCCACTTACATTTGTTTACATTATCTTCCCATGTGTCTTTTTCTCAAAGGCTTGCTAGTCCCCTTAGCTGCTTCCCACAGTCTAACCACCTCTCTGTTGGTCTGCAAAAGCTCTATAGGTATCACTTCTTTCTCTGCCTAGAGCTTGCTTTTTAAAACAATTCACCTTTGTTTTTTTTTTTTTTTTGAGGCAGAGTCTAGGTATGTAGCCTAGGCTTTGACTTCATGGGCTCCATAGTTCATGCGGCCAGGAAGTCACAATTCTACATCAGCTTCCTGAATGCTAGCATGGCAGCCATTCACCAGCCTTGTGGACTTGCTTTTTAATAGAAAATGCTGTGTTGGGAAAGATCCAGATGTGCCTCAGAAAGCATGCTTCTAGTTGGGGTTCTGCCTTTCTAGTTAGTCTTTGGTGGGTGGGCAGTCACTTCTGCACCCCCTTTATCCTCACCTGTGTAACAAGAGCTGAACTAGAGGTTCCCCTAGGTTCTCAGTTCTATTATCATCTAGACTTGGCATATTTTCTCCCAGTTGGTAGTGTCTGTGGGATCTGAACACTGAGCACTTAATTTCAGTGTAGTTGTAGAAGTAACTGCCCCTACTTTGCTTTGAAAAGTTTTGAAGTTGATGCTTAAAGAGAGCCTATTATGCCTGCCATTTTTTTTAATGGAAACTTAATGAAGACCATAAGCCATACAGATGTTTTAACCTGTCTAACTAGTGATTTCCAGGCATTAGTAACAAGAGGGCCGGCTGTGCATGCATATGCATTGGGAAGCCTTGCCAGGAAGGCTAGATAAGAAACTCTTTAATCCAGGATGCTGGCATCAGAGTGAGAGTCAGATAGCAGTTGCTGCAGACATGCTTCTGCTGTTTATTTTTGTGGTCCTTCTGTAAATGGACTTTCCATGTGAAATGGGACTTGAAGGGAAAGTATAGGGCTGTGTTCTGAAGGCACCTAATTACTTGACTGTGGGACAGAGGGCTAATTGTACTTCCAGGGGTCATTCTGAGTGTTTTACTGAGTGCGGTTCATGTGGTTAAAAATACCCAAGCTGAAGGCCACTTTCAAATCAAAACACTCACAAGAGAAACTTCCTGTCCCCTCCAGGTCCCTTACCAAATGGTTCCCGTTCTGTACATTTATAGCATTTGTGCTGGGCAAATGATGGAAAATCTTTGATTTAGTCTCCAATCACCTTACAAATGGCTCCCTGTCTACTGTATAAATTACTGGCTTCTAGATGCAAGAAGGTGAGACTGAGTGCTCACTGTAGAGCTGGACAGTTCCGTGAGGGTCAGCAAGGTCCTAGGGAGCCCCATACCTTTTCTTCAGGGTGGGATTCCATAGACTGGCTGACTGTAGTCCCACCACCCATCGATTTTCTTGTTAAACTTTTGCATAGGAATAGGCCTTTGTACTTCCCTACCTAAGTACTTTCCCAAGAGGAAGCTGTGCACTGAGGTGCCCTGCCATGCACATCACCCACAGATTCTGTGATGGTTTCATCCTCTCACTCTACGTGGAGACAAATATTGGAATAGGATGCCCAGGGTTCCTTTACATGCTTAATTGTGAGACAGAAGCTACTTTGTATAGGAATAGGATTTGTTGTCTAATAGAATGCTTTACAGTTCACAGTGTAGCAATTATTGGTGTGTGCGTGTGCGTGTGCGTGTGTGATTGGTTGATTACCTGTGTTGCAGGCTAGAATTGCTGCCAGCCATCTTTTTTACTTTCTACCCACCTTATTTTTGAGATAACATCTCTCAGTGAACCGGGATTGCCTTTGAGCTCCAGGGTTTTGCCTGTCTTCACCACATTTCCTCCTGCAAGAGGACACAGGTGGACAACACTGCACCTGACTTTTTAGTGGATGCTGTGAATCTGAAGCCATGTCCTCCTGCACACACAGCAAAACACTTTGCCACCTGAGCCATCGCCCTAGCCCCAAAGCCACTTTCTTTTTAAAGTTAAAACAGTAAAGAAGAGTAAATAGAAACTTTTTTTTTTATAATTAGGAGATTTAAACTTTCTCAAAAATAAGTCAGGCTGTGTTTGAAACGATCAGTAGAATAGACTGGCAAGGCTTTAGTTGGAGTTGACCAGGAAGATTTAATCTGACATCTTCGAAAAGACTAGAATATGTGTCATTTTATAGCTTAATATTTTTTTCACTAGCTGTTCAAATGATCTGATATTGGAAAAGGTATCTCAAAGAAAATATAACTTAGAAGAATTGGGGAGATAGACTTTAATAATCACTCTTCATGACTTTACAATGTTCAACTTCTCTTTTTTATTGTACATTTGACGTTTCTAACTAATGCAGTGCAGGGCATAAAAATTCTGAACGTTACTTTTAAAATTGAAAAATGCAAATTACTGACTAATCGTGTTACTTAAAGAAGCTGTGATTTAGGGGATTCACCATAGCTGGGATATTAAAAAAAAAAAAAGGCAGATTAAGACAATCCTACCTTTGTAAAGATCCAATTAATGCTAGAGTAGTTATAAAGACTCTCATTAATGCCAGCATCCTGTCCCTTTCTATAAGGTGGGAAGCTGGGGTTTTGAGAAGAAAGGCCTTGGTGTTAATTTGGAGGTGACGTTCACAAGGCTTGAGTGACAGCTGCATGGTTTGGTGACTGACACCCACTTCACTTTTGTTTTCACATCAGAGATGATTGCAGACCACCAGATCGAGACAGGCCTACTGAAGCCTGACCTCAAGGATAAGGTCACCTATACTCTGCTCCGGAAACACCGACATCAAACCAAGAAATCTAACCTTCGGTCCCTGGCTGACATTGGGAAGACGGTCTCCAGTGCAAGTAGGATGTTTAGCAACCCTGACAATGGTAATGCAGAGCCAATGGCTGCTGCTCGATTTCTCTTGCAGTGTCACCACATCACCTCACTCCATCTCTTCATGCCCCCTCCCCCCTCATATTTCTTTCCTCAAGTTCATATGCCATGCTCATTCCATGATCCTTTTCATACAACTGGGCATATGTGCAATCTTGCTGGAAAGGTTTCCCTGTTGCTGCAGGCTGCAAAGCCACAGTGCCTCGATTCTCTATATGGGTCTATCCTGATGGACTGAAATGGTTCGCTCATAACTCTGTGGTGAAACATCTGAGTATTGTACATGAATCAGCAAGCTTGCAGAGACCGAGACCTCAGGGAATATGTCTTCAAGATGACTTGCAACAACTGGGAGGAGCTAATTAGATAAGATAAATGCTTTGAAGTCTCGGGTCACAACACTTTTCACCACAGTATCCCATTTCGGGTAGGAGTCAGTTGTCTAGGCTATTGGTGGTCATCTTACCAATATAAGACTCCATTTTACTTTACCACTTGAAAACGTGGTTGATATTGTGGTAAATAACAGTCATATTCAGATGGGACGGTAATTACTAAAGATGGAATATTAACTCATTATGTAACAATGGGGAAGGCACTACGTTCTTGTTACTTTTATTTTATTGCATTTTCCACAATTTCTTGAAAAGTGTCTATCTTATGTGTCTCTTTGTTGGGAGCAAATTTCATGTTTGGTTACAGGCTGAGAAGGGGGCTGGATGCACATCACTGTCAAGTGTCGGAGATGGCCATGCGGTGGGCAGACTTGAGTAAGAGCTGGGTTGGTAGAACTGGATCTAGAATCCACAACCACATCTTCTTAAGTACTAAGAAACGGAAGAGAGGGAGAGAGTCTGTAACCTGATACAGTCTCATGTACTTCTGTAGTATTACAGAATGTGGTCTCAGGCAGACAACAAACTAAATATAAAGTGAAGTTGACACCAGTCATTCCATATCCAGAAATGTGATTTTTTTTCTCATTTAATGTTAAAAACCAATGGTTTGAAGACACAGTACTATAAACAAAATTTCATAGTTTTAAACCCAAAGTGTCTATAAAAATAATTAAGTTATCAATGTTTTCAATAAAATACCTCCACAAGAGAGAGACTCAAATTTAGAATACTTCTAGTATAGTTTAGTGTTACTCAGAACATTGCGATCTACAGTCTACAGAGAGATATTCATCTTTATATGCCTGTTGATTTAGTTTTGAAGTAAAGATTTTACATGTATTGGCAGTGCCGTTGCTTAAGCATGTTGCTCTAACTCAGCTTACAAGCATTTTGTCTTAACCAGCACCTGTATTTGTAATGGCGGCAGTCAAAGGTCAGTCTTTCCTTTTTGTTTTAGGCAACAATCCTCTTTCTCCTATGAAGTGTGCTTCTAAGAGTTAGAGGTTTTGTTTGTTTGCTTTAAGTCATGGAATACCCTGTATAAAGAAGTATGAAGATACAATGTTGCGGTAGACAGGGAGTGTCTGTGACTGCCAGGCTGCTCTCTTTTCCAGCTTGCTAAGCCACCTTCTTATGTACCACAATGGAGCAGAGACTAGAAACAGAAGAGCCTCCACTGCCTTTTGGAGACATTATTTAGATGTGATGTACAATGAATGAGCTAGGTTACTCGCTATTTCTCAGCTCTTGTCCTATCAGTAGATCCTGCATTTGAGAGCATGCTGAACTTGGTTTCATTGTTCACCTCTCATTTGCTACACATGCAGGGCAGAAAGCAAATGGGAAAGGGCAGACGGCTCTCTTTCGGCTCTTCAAATGATTGGAGTACACCCTGCAGCATAGGATACTATTAGTTTGTTTCAAACGTGTTATTATTGGCCTTTGTGTTACCCAACTTTTTAACTATCACAGGCAAGATTTGGCTTTGTGAGATCCTACAGCAGTGAGTTACATGCGCTTCCAAGGTACATGATCATAAATCACAGGTGAGGTGGCAAGTTCTTGGCTTTCTACAGTTGCTAGGTCTTAACCTGCAAGTTTACACAGTTACTTTTATGTCTTGGGGCTTAATCACTTAATATACTTAAGAACTATGTAATGTTCTTTGAGTAAACATCTAAAGTACGGAATTATATAGAATCTTAGGTTGACTGTAGTTGGGACAGGGTTATAATATTCTCATGAGAAGCCTAGATACACATAAATCACCTTAGCCTTAAATATAGAAATAGACCCAGTGACAAAGACAGCCCTGGATATGCTAGCAACAGTGTGACAGAGAGCTGAATGGTGTAGGGACACTTGAATCGGAGATTTTGTTAGTTCCCAGAGGTGTCCTAGAGTCTATGTCCATCAACTCACAAGATCCAGCAGTGAGGGGAGATTTCTGGCAGCAGCTTGTCACATAGGCAGCTACTGTGAAATTCCATTAGCATACAAGTAAATAATTATATTAAAAACAATGGCAACGCATACTCAAAATGCACAGCTTCCTGTTTGGTTGATGACAATTTGCTATAACCTGTGCACTTGTGGTGATTTCCACCTGTGTGTAGAGTGTGTAGACAAGGTAGAGTGATTACTCCCGTGTATTGTAGCCGCATCTGCTCTCAGCAGGCACTGAGTCTCAGTGCTCACTCCAGAGGCTTCAGGCAAGCTGCTGAAGGCTGCTACAGTGTAGTGTTTCCATCCTAGATATCAGCAGGGCTTGCCTTATTGTTTCAGCTGTCTCTAAACTTTAAAAAAATATGGAGGAAACACTGACAATGCAGATTAAACTCAAAGCATGTACTTACCGTATACAGCTGCTGAAATACAAACGATCCACTAAGACAGAAAGGTTTTTGTTTTTGGTAGTTTTTTAAAAAAAGATTTATTTATTTATTTATTTATTTATTTATTTATTTATTTATTTATTTATTTAATGTATATGAGTGCTCTATCTTCATGTATACCTGCATGTCAGAAGAGGGCATCAGATTCCATTCATAGATGGGTGTTAGCCATCATGTGCTGGGAATTGAACTCAGGACCTCTGGAAGAGCAGCCACTGCTCTTAACCTCTGATCTGTGTCTCCAGCCCCACCATATATCTTTTATGCCAGTAAATTTACTCTATCCACAGACATATGCATGGAGACATACACTTTTTCTCCCAAGTAGCTGGTTTTCAACCATTTCTATCATCAGTATACACATCTATTTACCCATAGCTAAAAACTAACTCAAATTTTACAGTGTTCTTGTGTGGCTTGGGTCACAGATGATGATTTACAGCTGTTATTATTGTTGATTTTTTTTCTGATACAAAACCACTTTTGCTTGAAAAAAAAATCAGGAAGAATAAAGGTAGCTTTATGAGGTTTGTGTTGGGTTCAGCTATATGAATGACTTTTGTGAGTTAAATAAAATCGACAGCTCACAAATCCATCTGACAATGTCTGGCAGTTTTGTCCGAGTAACTTAAAATAATAGTTATGTATTATTTTAGTTTATTATGAAAGAATAACACTTGAGCCTAGGAACACTTGAGGGAAGTACATAAAAAAATCAAACATGAAGTATTAAGAAGTAGAAAGAGTTTGCATATACAATTCCGATTCACTGCTTAAAGATTTTATAAGGTGTTTATGAGGCTGAGAAACACGTTTTTTTTTTTAAATCATGATCTGATTTAAAAAGTATATATTTCCCATCTTATGGATGGGGAAAAAAGTGGATACTATTGATCTGTATTGCCTCAAAACTCATGAAAGGTGAACAAGCCCTGATTAAAGACCAAGAGCGACTCAGAATCCCAATTCGAGGGGTCAGCTTTTCCTGCCAGTGTGAAGATTGTCAGGCCATCATTGATTTGTTTCTTTTTTGCTGAGTGCCTGCACTTCTTTCCCCTCCTCTATCGTAAAGGTCAGTTCCTTGTCCCCTGTCATCTGAGGGTGTGGTATCGTAAAGGTCAGTTCCTTGTCCCCTGTCATCTGAGGGTGTGGACATCCTTGGTTGAGAAGTGGTTTTGCTCATTCAGTCTGACCCACACTATGAAATTCTTTTCTTCTTCTTCTTTTTTTTAATATTAAAGGCATGTTTATTGGGAAGCCACTCTCAGATGAATTCCCTGGCCCCAAGGATTGAAGCCAAGGGAGTCAACATAGGGAAGAGGGCAGGAGAAAGGTCTCATGCAGAGAGAGAGGGAGGGAGAAGAGGGAGGGAGGGAGGGAGGAGAGAGGGAGAGAGGGAGAGAGGGAGAGAGGGAGAGAGGGAGAGAGGGAGAGAGAGAGAGAGAGAGAGAGAGAGAGACTCATTTTTAATTATTAAAAAGTTACTTATTTTTCCTAACAAAGACTGAGATAAATATTGTAGTCCATTTTGATGCCTGTAAAACAGAACTAATGGGAAAAATCAGTGGGGTATGTAAGGGCTTGGAATGGTAACTGGCACTAAGTAATCACTCAGCAAACACAGGGATTTAAGCATAACTAAGCGAGAAAGATTTCAGAGTAATAGGAATGGCTTCTGGACTGTTTGCTTCAGTAGCCTTCTTTTCTGGAAGAAACTCATGGAAATAACTTTTTGTATTTCTTCAGACATTTTGGTAAGTGATATCAGTACCCTTTGTTTAACAGTGATGGGGGAAGAGGCCCTTTCTCCTCATAGTCTGAAACTTTCTTGTTTTGTTTTTGTCTTTTGTGTGTGTGTTTTGTTTTGGTTAAATGGGTATAAGAGGAATTGGGATCCACCTTGGGAATCCAAGGCTAACAACAGGGGTAGCCTCAGGCAGTGAGGAGTTAGTGAAGGTGGTTGGATCCAGGGACTCATATAGCTTTCTTTATCCTTTTGATAGTACCCCAGGACCTCTTCTGGATTTATAGTGACCCATAGCCTACTGCCCAGCACAGTGGTGGGCTCCAGCTTCAATCCACTGCCTTTCCGACCTCCCCCTTTACCAAGCTGTGCAAAAATGTCATCACCAGGCTTGCACATCTCAGTGAGGTCCAGGCATCTGTATCTAGACTGCTGTTTCAAGTGTTTCTACCAGT